CTGCACGAGCCTATGGTGGTAAAGCCCGCCAGAATGGGTGGGGTCATCTGGCTATATAAGCGGCACATTGCTATAGGATCCTCAGATTATTCTCCTTCAGCGACGACTACTAGATCTTCGCTCTAGGAGACTACAAAGCCTTCGCCCGTGATCAAGCCTCGCAGCGGATGGAGAGACCCCTTCCTGCTCAGCCATTCTCTCCGATTCACGGTCTCCGGTTCAAAAACCTTCCCTCTCTGTCTACTACACATAGTTCTTGGGGCTGGGGCATGAATTTCTAACTAAAGTCAGTTGTCAAACGTAAAGTCAACATAAAATGTATAAGCACTGTTCTTCATCAAAATGTAAGAATAAAAAAAAAAAAAAACTTTTACTATTACTATGAAAATAAACACTTTTTTTCCCAGCTCACCTTACCAATCAAAATAAGGTATGAAACTGCAAATGGTCAAAGAGTGGAGGTTCTTAAGCTTGGTTTTAGGAGGTCAAACAAAATATTTAAACTTTTTTTTTTCTTCACAAAAAATGTATAAAATACAATATACTACTACTACTACTAATACACCAGAGCAGGGATAATTAAGGCAAGCTAAAATCTTCCATATATTAATCTTTTGTTTATAAGGCCTAGTTAGTTTGGGACCAAATGATAATTGATCTTCTTGTATTTCCCTTAATTGAAGAAAATTATTTGTTTGGTCATGTTCTTCCTGACATTTTTCATCCTTGAATACCTCATTCACTCTGAAATGAATCATATTATGGAAGCAAAATATTAATTTCATGTTGACTTAAAAAAGTTATTTAATGCTTTGACAGCTGACCACCTATAAAATACACTAAATGTTTCTCATATATTCTCCATCTCTATCTTGTCTCACACACTTACTCGTAAGTGCCTCTACACCTAAAATGCTGCTGCAGGTTGTCAGAGTTTATACCATTTTGTATATTACTTTCACATCAATCATCAAGCTGGAAAGGCTTGCAAATGGCAAAGAGTGGAGGTTCTTTAAGCTGGTTTTAGGAGGTCAAACAAAATATTTAAACTTTTTTTTTTCTTCACAAAAAATTTATAAAATACAATATACTACTACTACTACTAATACACCAGAGCAGGGATAATTAAGGCAAGCTAAAATCTTCCATATATTAATCTTTTGTTTATAAGGCCTAGTTAGTTTGGGACCAAATGATAATTGATCTTCTTGTATTTCCCTTAATTGAAGAAAATTATTTGTTTGGTCATGTTCTTCCTGACATTTTTCATCCTTGAATACCTCATTCACTCTGAAATGAATCATATTATGGAAGCAAAATATTAATTTCATGTTGACTTAAAAAAGTTATTTAATGCTTTGACAGCTGACCACCTATAAAATACACTAAATGTTTCTCATATATTCTCCATCTCTATCTTGTCTCACACACTTACTCGTAAGTGCCTCTACACCTAAAATGCTGCTGCAGGTTGTCAGAGTTTATACCATTTTGTATATTACTTTCACATCAATCATCAAGCTGGAAAGGCTGCATTTTGCCAGTTTTTAAACTTCACTTTTCTTTTAAAGAACTTACTGACTTAAGTCGTAAGGTTGGACCACTCTGGGAAAAGTACCTAGGTATTGATATTTTATTGGGCTTGAACACTGGTGGGGTCTGTAGTGCTTTGGCTTCCTCTCACCTAACTCACCCAGTGACACCTGAAGTAACTTTGTCAACTAACTTCTCACACTTTAAACAAGGTACACAATGTGACTGAGTCTCATCCTCCCTTTGTGAGTGGCATAGTAGCATTGGCCCAGGTCTTGACTGGTTTGTGTTCTGTGAGTTTGAGCTTGTGACAAATTGCCACACAATGTGTACAGACACTATTGGTTAACTGTATTTGCATCTCTTATGTGATATCTAAAGCCTCAATTACGTAAATGGAAATATTCTGCTTTTCATTGATTTACAGGGTGCACGGAAGTGCATATATGACACTTGATGGACACTAAATACAATACAAAGCTACAGTACCAGAGTCCAAAATTAATACTCAAAAGTGTCAAATGCCTTTGCCGTGAAACATATAGGCTGGCTTGGTTTAAGAATGATGCCGATTTGTGAGCCATTCAATTTTAAATGTAAATAGTCTACTAATGAAAACTTTTGTCATAATTCAAATGTCCTCAGACTTTATATAAAAGTAAAATGTATATATTACATAATTAATATATTAGATTATACGTTTTTATATTTTTCTGCAGAACTCCATGTGGCAATACTATATGTGTCCTATATTTTAATCCATTAAAATATGAGGAAATATGAGGGAAAAAATCCTCACCACAGTAGGTCTCCACTGAGAGACACAGATTGGCTCATCCTGTATGTGTTGCTTTGAGTGACATAATGACCTACGCTGTTCGGTCATTAGTGTGCTTGGAAAAGGTATATATATATATATATAAAGGATAAATTTGCGATTTTCAATCAGCGTTGTACTGTTTCAATTTAATGGGGAAAATAAACTAGGTGCAGGTAACATGGTGACACATTTTGCGTTTACGTACACTACAGACATTGTAACAATATGAAACTGGTAGAAAATCTGTGAAGTTCTTTAATAAAAAAGTAATGAAAGTACAATTTCCTGGGCCTATAAAAAATATTTATTGCGGGTTGGTTTTCTCAACTGACTCACCAAGTGGGGCATTAAGTTAAATTTAGACCATGTACATTACTATGCAAAGTGCAGCATGCAGAGCTACAAACAACATTTGTTAGAACTAAGCAAGTTTCTACTGAGCAAGTGGTTTTTGGTGTTTACAGAAGATTAGAGATGTTTACAGACTGAGACATTTATGAAATATTATGCCATTTTCTAAACATACAACAGCTTCTGCTGTTTACATTATATGCAGACACATCTATTTACTTATATTTATTTGTTTATTTAAATCAAAGGTTAATATAATCATCACATATGCTGTTTTATGGAGGAAATTCCTATCCAAAGCCTATCCAACCAGTGGCCCAATGCGGCCTGTTTGACATTTTCAGTGGCCCACAGTTAAATAGCCTAAAATTATGTATTTAGATATATTAGATGTAACAAATTTTAGAACATGACAAGTACACGTCTCCAAAAATTCTTTCTTTATGACTTTTTTTTTCATGGACATTTTTTTTACGCACTTCTGTTATGCTGTAAGATGCCTGCCATACGTCCACTTGTTGTTGAAGTCAAATACACCTTTCCTTGTTTTTATAGTGAAGTTCAGTTTGAAGCCAAACATAAAAAACACCCACTGGAAACCCACAGTTCAGTCAGTTGAGGGGAATTAAATGCTCACTGCACCTGCATGAGACAAATGCGTCATGGGCGCCAGTTTACTCATGTGCTGAAAGATGTGCAGTTGTAATTGATGGTGTCTTCTCTCCCCCTTCCCCCAGAGAAAAAGAGTACGGTACTCTGAGCTGGACTTTGAGGTAAGACCCCATCCCCATCTGTCCTTAGACTGGTGTTTGTGCTTCTGTCCAACATTTTCTAGAGATTTTTCAATGGACTCATACAGGAGCCAATGATAATTGCCACTCTGGTGCTTGTTTCCCCCATCATGCATTTAAGTATTAGCAACAGTCCTATCCATGGCCGAACTGCTCAGTGTTTCACATACCTTGATTTCTTAGGGTTTTTTTTGGCATTGTTTCAAAATAGGGTGACCACATATCACACTTTGAAATATATATGATAAAATTTAAATGTACATGTGTGATGTTTAATATAAAGTATATATTATCTTAATAGAGTGTGTATGTACATATAGTTCTGCTCATATGTTTACATCCCCCTAGTGGAATATGAAAGAAGTTAATAATTTTAACAAAATACAAGGGATCATAAAAATTGTGTTATTTATTTAGTACTGTCTTGAATTAGCTGTTTTACATAACAGATGTTTACATATAATACACAAGACATAATAACTGATATTATATGTATACAAATGAATTTCAAATATTTACACCCTTACTACTGAGTTGTTACCTAGATGATCAACAGTTGAGTTTGTCACTGGTTTGTCCTAAACCAAGGGTGTCCAAACTCAGCTCTGGAGCGCCACTGTCCTGCAGAGTTTAGCTCAAACTTGCCTCAACACACCTGCCCTCAGTGTTTCACATACCTTGATTTCTTAGGGTTTTTTTTGGCATTGTTTCAAAATAGGGTGACCACATATCACACTTTGAAATATATATGATAAAATTTAAATGTACATGTGTGATGTTTAATATAAAGTATATATTATCTTAATAGAGTGTGTATGTACATATAGTTCTGCTCATATGTTTACATCCCCCTAGTGGAATATGAAAGAAGTTAATAATTTTAACAAACTAAAAGGGATCATAAAAATTGTGTTATTTATTTAGTACTGTCTTGAATTAGCTGTTTTACATAACAGATGTTTACATACAATACACAAGACATAATAACTGATATTATATTTATACAAATGAATTTCAAATATTTACACCCTTACTACTGAGTTGTTACCTAGATGATCAACAGTTGAGTTTGTCACTGGTTTGTCCTAAACCAAGGGTGTCCAAACTCAGCTCTGGAGCGCCACTGTCCTGCAGAGTTTGGCTCAAACTTGCCTCAACACACCTGCCTGGAAGCCCTCCAAGACTGAGTTTGGGCACCCCTGTTCTAGTATGTCTAGTGAGACATTGATTAGCTGGTTCAGGAGTGTTTATTTGGGGTTGGAGCTAAACTCTGCAGGACAGTTGCTCTCCAGGAGCAGGATTGGACACCCCTGTCCTAAACAGTTAAACCACCCACTGTTCTGTTGAAAAATCCTCCAGGTTCTGCACATTCTTTGGTTTTGTAGCATTTTCTGCATATTCGAACCCTTTCCAACAGTGAATGTATGATTTTGAGATCCATCTGTTCACACCAAGGACAGTTGATGGAGTAATACACAACTACTGTATTACAAAAGGTCAAAACATTCACTGATGCTCAAGAAGGCATCATACTGCATTAAGAGTTAGGGGTGTAAACTTTTGAACAAAATGATAATTTGTCAATTTTGTTTAAAATGACCTTATGATTAACATTTACATGGTGTTTCATGGACATCATTAGTTTAACAGTAGATTTAAAATGACTTTAAACAGTCTTGGCAGTTCATAGATGTGAAGTTGATGAATAATTATAATTTACAGCACTCCTGCAGTTCAAATTCAGTGTAAATATTGCGTAGCAATAGCTATGCTCAGTGAATTCAGAAAATGTTCTACATTTAGCATTTCACAAATCTGGTCACCCGATTTCAATGACATCTTTGATATGTCATCACAAAGTGTGCTGTATAATGACTCCATACAAGCAGGATGTGCTTCTGAATACGGAAGGATCAAGGCTGCAGAAACACTGAACCAGTGTAGAGCTCTGTAAGTGTTGAGTGAGTGGTATTATTGTGTATGAAAGAGAAAGACGGCATAATGAGACGAGTAGAGACTGCACGTGTATGACTGGGGCAGCCTGGAGGGCACCTCCATGGAATGATCAACTGGCAGGATCCAGCAAATCTCCAGTCTAAAACATGCCAATCCATTTTCTTCAGAACACACTTGTGTGCTTTTAAACCAGCTGTTCTTCAATTATGTTTGAAAGCTTAAGTGAAATTATGACTGGATATTTGCTCTCCAGTATGGAGGCTTCTTCTCAAACAGAGGTATGTCTTGTTACTAACGCATTCAGATGCTTTTAGAGCTTCATAACCTTTTCCATCCTAGTCAGTGCTGCATGAGATGATCTCCCTCCTGTCCCGATAAGCAAATTTGAGGTTGACAGTCGACTAAAATAATGTTTCATGATTGAGATAATCATTTTTGTTGCTACAAGGATCTATTTCGAAAAGTTAATTCGCTGAAACATACCTATAAATACATAATAATATGTAGTGCATTTCGTTTTAATGCATTAAATTCCTCTTGAAACCAAAAACAAAATAATATTTGACTAAAATGTGTATTGCTCTGGTGCGAAAAAAAAAAAAAAAAGCAGGCAGTCAGTCTCCCAGTCTCCCAGCCTGGTTAAAATGATCTGTTTGCTGGTTTGGCATTTGTGGCACTTGTTTGCTGGTCAGACTGGATTTTTGTGTGTTTCTGTGTTCCGGTACTCATATTTCGGCAAGTTCTTAGAATTCACACTGAGCAGAATGAAGTTAAATGGGTGAATGTTCTAAATTAAATGCCATAAAATGTATATGTTTTATAAATGTATATATTTAACCTTGGTAGCCCTAAAATAAATGAGAATTGTTATATAACCATTTATAGAAACACAAATAAAATGCAAAATTCCATTATTTCTCAGAAATCAACCCTAGTACATGGATGCTTACATTTGCAGGTTGGAGCTCCATGTCAGCTCTGCGTGAACACCAGCTGTGACTACAAAACAGCCCAGCCAGCTTCCAACCACCTCCAATTAAAGGGGTCATATGATGTTGCTAAAAATAACATTATTTGGTGTAATGAAATGTATCGACGAGACAAAAACATTAAAACCCATTATAAATTATAAGGATTATAATGACTAATACTATCTTTTTACGCGTTGCATTGCATCGCGCCGCGTAAACATAAAACCATGTCTGCATTTGTGATCAGAGAAATGACAAACTACAAACGCTATTCTACACTGCTCAAAACTCGCCTTTGGATATTGTCCTCTTTTGGAAGGCCAAACAAAGTAGTTTCGCTTTCACAACGGAATTGGTGGAAGTGTCTGTCAGTAAGAAATGACACTGACCAGAGAGCTTTAACATTGTTTAATACCCATCAGAACCAATCCGTTTACTACTCAATCAGAGCACCACCCTTCGAGAGGTTGAGTGTTCGTAGTCATCCTAGTTTTGCGGTTTAACACCGGTAGCCGTTGACCCAGCTCCTCCCTGGCCTGCCCTTTCTTATTTTTGCTTTTGTTTCTTTTTGTTTTTTGTTTGTTTGTTTTTTTCCCCTTCCTTACAGAAAGTGATGCACACTCGCAAAAGACACTCAGAGCTCTACCATGAACTCAACCACTCCACCAAGTTCCACACCATAGACAGGTATAACAGGGACCCTGCCATGTCCTCCTTCAAGGTAAGACCCCTTTAACCTGCGACCCCACACTGATACCCATCCCTGATACGCTCAAATCGTACACCACTCTATAAGCTCCACTTTAAGTGAAATAATCTTGTCCTGTGTTTTCTAAAAGTCCTGCATAATTGCGTCACAACGTCGGTAATGTATTACCATGCTCACATGCTGCAGGAGTTTTAAAGCAATAGTAACTGGAGCACTAAATTGATTACTTGAATTACTAATAATAGTTACATAAATAATTTGTTACTGCAGAAAACTTATTGTTTTAATGTTGTATTAATGTATTTAATTCCTTTTAACTTTAGCTTTAAAATAGCTGTGATTAAAATTCATAAACATTTTAATATTAAATATGATGCAAATGCATATGCTAGCTTATAAATGAAAAATAAATACATAGTTTCTATCACAATTTATTCACTCTCATGTTGTTTTAAACCTGTATGACTTTTTCTGACTTTTAATATAAGGACAAACATTTTTTTAAATATATTTTATGTTTCACAGAAGAAAGAAAAGCATGCATGCTTGGAACGACGTGAGTGTGAATAAATGATAACAGAATTTTCATTTTTGGGTGAAATATCTCTTTAAAAGTAAAAAAAAAAATGATGGGGAGTAAACAAGTTTGTATTTTGGTACTTGGATTTAAAAAAAAAAAATTTGAAATCCACCTGGTGTTTGGAAAAACTCATCTTTATCAGTGCATGCACTGCTTCCCATTTCTCCAAGCCTTGTGTTTTGTAAGCTAATTAGTACAGTATTAATAGTTGGATCATATTCAGTCTCCTTCCATTAAGCTTCTCAAAGTACACCTGCCTGCTCTCCTATCTGCTTTCCCTGGAAATAGCTGACTGTTCATCTTTGCATTAGCTAGACTGCTGAATCTTTAATGTTCTATTAGTGGAAGGAATATTGCAAACATCCATACGCCAGTGTCCAGAGGCTTTTGTCATTAAGATTTAAAAACAAATACCCTGCGGAAAATTACCTGCCCGCAATTTGTGACAAGTGTATACTTTGGTGGCATTTGCCACATGCTCACTCATTTTTCATTTGGATCATGCTGTCTGCAGCTTCAATTACAGCCTATTTCAGCCCATTAGATCCTTGTGCTGCATTACTTTTCACCAGAGGCGTGTCCTGTGGTGGCCCTGGCCACCTGAGTGATTTGATTGGTCACCCCAAAATTCTAAACTGTGATTGGCCATCTCTTAAGTTATCAGTGAAGATGGATTATGTTTCTTGACAATGAGTCTGTACATGGGCCACTCCAGTCAAAAAGGTCTGGACACACCACTACTGGATAACTTCAGACAAGCATTAGCGGTTCATGTTCTTATATTACAGAGAATCAATCTCTTTCTAACTGCTTTTCAAATGCTGACAGTATTGATGAATCATGATGCTTTTAGCATTTGCCTTTCAAATCCCAGCGGGACAGCAACTGTAGAATAATTCTTTTGATTTCATTCCACAGGTTTGATTATATTGACAATGCTATAATTACAGCGATAATGGGCAGGAGAGTTTGAAAAAAATGAAATTTCACATTCATAATTATTATAATAACCCAGTGCCTAAGACAATCAATTATTTGGATTTCTTCTTTAGGTCAGGACTGGTGTGAGAGTGATTTTCCACTGAATGTGATCGCATAAAGATGTGGTTTTCAAATATGTATGAACATAACTATAATCTAAAAGACAAGTGCACTTTACACAGTTACCTTTCACAGGTGCACTTTTACAGTTTGTTTGGATCCTACATTACTTTCTCTAAAGAACAGTCTACCTCATGAAACCACATCTACCTCAAAAAGTATCACGTTATAACAGCAAATCTGTGCTAAAAAGTGCCATGCCAGTGGTCATTAAACCCTTCTAACAATCTGGCCGACTTCACAGGTTCCTCCTCCACCTCCTCCACGACAATCTGAGCCTTTAACACGGAAAATGAGCTACGTTTACAAAGAGAGCCAATGTAAGCATGTCAACCAAACTCTGTATTCCCAACCCCATGTGGTAGGGCCCTGGTTTATAGATGCTCTCATTGGTGCAGTGTAAACCCTCATTTGTAGAGTTAAGTGGTGTAGAGGACTAAATGTTAGGTTGATTTTTTTTTTCCCGTTAACTCAGCGTGGAATAATCCATTCAGTGTTGTGATATACTGTTGTAAATCTCACAGCCTTGTGCTGTCATTGTGCTTGTGCTGGTGCTATTTTAAACCCTTTATTTTTTTTTTAAACCAAACTGTACATATAAATTCTTATAAACCACAAAAACTTTCAATTTATTAAAATTAGTTTTAAAACATCATAAACACAAAAAACGTAATGTGGCCACAAATCTGCATTAAAGTGAGAACAACCTGTTTGGTATACGGTAAGCAAGCACATACTGTTCTAGCAACAAGGTAATACTTACGATATTAGAAGTTAATTTGGTCAGAAACGTGTGTGGGCTGTTAAAGAGATGAGTGCACATTTGGGAAAAATCTAAGCCATTTTTCGCCTCCTGACTTATTGTAGACTTTCCTTTTATCCCATTTGATCATTCTAACAGCTGGTGAGGAAAGTGAGCTTAGTGGGGTCTCTTAACACATCCAAATGCCCCCTTCCAGACACTGTCCATTTCTTCTAATCATCTTTCTCTCTCTATTTCCCTCCTATATGCGCTGACTTCAATCTTTCGGGGTTCGCTTCATCTTGTTCTTTTTTTTCTACGGGGACAGTGGAGACGCCTTAGTCACTTGCAGTCCGTTAAATTGCTTGTGTTAGTGCGAATGGAGCTTGATGCAGTTTGAAAGGCAGTTAACCTCTAAGTGAAGATGCTAGCGGGGCCAATTGCTGTAGCGGAGGCACCCCATATGGTCCCAAATGGATGAAGGACTAGTACCCTGTGTTCAATCTATTCATGCTAATGGGGATCCTACAAATGAACACAGCGGGGAACTTGAGAGCAGAGGAAGGCAGCAGTCTGGCTCTTGAAATATGTATTAGCTGAAAACTTCTGCTCTTACACCCACTGAGTGTTTTATGAAAGAGTAAACATCATAAATGCATGCACGGAGTTAGCAATAATGTAAGATTTGAACAATCCCCTAAACTTAACTTAGGCACATAACCGGCATAATGTATTCTATGGACATGACTGATGCTTTAAATCATGTAGTTGTTACATTTCTATGCATTTTTCTTATAAAGGACATATAAAAAAATGTTGAGGGTAAAATTTGTGATTTATTATTTTTTAAATAAAAAGCATAAATTGCCATATAAATTACAATTGAATTCTATATAATACTCATCAAGGAAATGCATGAACTTTTACAGTAAATTATTAAAATAAAAAATTTAATTGTTTTTGTAAATAAAAACATGAGCCACAATTTAAATATTGTATGGAAAAAGTTTTTTTTTCCCTTAATCTTTTGTAATGAGTTCTGTACATTAGGGATTTTTTTTCCCCCTGCAAATAATTCAACCACAGTTTTTTAAACGGAAATAAATTTATAGAGCAGAGACCAGAATATCCTAAAGTCTTCTGGTAAAATACATTATGGCTAACTCATCTGTAATCTGGAAAACATTGCTGGCTTTTTTTATAAAAAATATATTTGCAGCTAAAATATTTATCCTACTTAAGTCAAGTCACCTACTTAAAATATGTCTAGGTGTTAAAGGCCTTCATCTGCAATTAGAAAGTTCAATCTGGCATTATTACATTTCGTGAGCCCTATCAAATAGTACTATTCAAACTGCTTTCTAGTAAAAATGGCTCATTAAAACTTTCAAAACCCTATAGCACTGATAATATATAGTATCAGTAGTACAGTGGTTTCATGAATCTAATATTGTAATTGTCGTGCTTTAAAGGTTATGCTCTGAACGTTTATCAGTACTCTTGGTGTGTGTGTGTGTGTGTGTGTGTGTGATTATAAGTACACATTAGTGCGCATCTGTGAGTGTTTAGCTATTCTTAGCATGTTTGGTTATGCCTCATTGAAACTGTTTCCCTGCAGGTGAGTTGAATTATTGGTATCTGAGCCCAACTGTGAAGTTCAGGTGTTTGAGACAATTTGCTACTTTGAGGACGAGTAGCATATGTATGTTTTCACCCATGTCGATTTTCTCTCATAATAGTTTCCTCATTTACTAGAGCTTCATCCCTCTCGGGTATTAAATGAATAACTGATTTTTTGCCATCTTGTATTTGCCTTTTGTCCACACAGAATTTTCTTTGTGGAGTATTGTGTTGACTGAACTTGAAGCAGATGCACCATCAAATAGCTTAATGAAGGGGCTTAAGCTGGGATGGGACTCTTACACACTCATACACACACAGCCAAATGCTAATTTGCAGTCTGTGCCAATTAAGACGTAATTAGTGAGATATGTCATGTCTGCAGATTTCACCATGTAGGACTGTGTTCCTGCTGTATTGTAGCTCAGCTCATATCTGGATCGTGGTATAGAAGGGATCATCTTAATTTCTGTGACAGTTTTGTGTCTATTTTGCCCTTTTGTGTTTTTTTTTCTAACATTGAACTGAGTAGAATAGATTACAGACTATTAGCAGAGCTGACATAATGCAGTATAACTCAGCAATGGCTGTCATGGCAGAGAGACCAGATAAGGCTTTTAGCGCATTATCCTTTATACATAATGTATGACTTTATAATGGAGGGAACTCAGAGATCATGTATGCAATGAAGGTGACCGTATACATCAACATTTATTGTGGTTATCTGATTATAGTTAATACAATATAGAAGTTATGATACATATACCACTGAAACAAACAGCCTAATCTGTACATTATCCCATAATTCTGGCCTTTTATTCTGGTTTGGAGACCCCAAAGCTCACTGATATCTCTTTTGTCCTGTAATGTATAAATGTACAGGGGAGAATTCATTAAGATTGCATCATTATTTGCACAATGCTGCTAGTGTTGTTTCAGCAAATGTACACTAAAGAAATTATGCTAATTAAATTTAACATTTATGATATCTCTTTTGTCCTGTAATGTATAAATGTACAGGGGAGAATTCATTAAGATTGCATCATTTATTTGCACAATGCTGCTAGTGTTGTTTCAGCAAATGTACACTAAAGAAATTATGCTAATTAAATTTAACATTTAATGCAAACATGCCTAAAAAATGTGGTGTTCAACACAATTTGCATGACACTATTGTATCTTTTGAAAGGTTTTCAGTGTCATATTGTGGACAATGCAGTAGACTATACTGCAATCTGGCATACTTTACCTGGACTAGTTTTATCACTCCAATCCAGACACCTCAATTGGCTTTAGTGTTTAGGCTTTAGAATGCTAAAATTATATAAATAGCCAGTTATAATGCTCTTCTCCATTATTTAAATTTTAATTAATTACTGCTACCAAATTGGCAAAACTAAGATTATTTAGTGAATTCACCCCAAACACTCATCTCTGACAAAGGCCTTGTCGTTCTATTCTGCTTCTTGTTCTGTGTTTCATACCCACATTGTTTTACTTGATCCACTATTTTTTTTCTTTCTTTATATATTGCTTATTATTTTGTGTATTGATGCATTTTGTTTTTGTCATAATGCACTGCTGCCTGTCTTTGTCTTTCCTTGGTTTGAAACTACATGTTTTTTGTCATAGTTTGACTGTAGCCAGACAGTCAGCAGACCCAAGGGCGACAAACAGAAAAAAGGTAACAGAAAAAAAAATCTCATCCAGAGAGCAGCGTGTGTGTGAGCCATAGAGTCATAGAGTGTTTCTTTTTGTCCTTTCCACCCTATAGTTTCCATAGAAACTTCTAGGCCAGTACAGAACTCCCACAGCAACTAATCTTGCTCTCCCCCACTGCCCTGCTGCTGTAGACACTGCTCCTTTCACATCTTTCCTTTGTTTCATTGTGCAACAGCCGACTTCTTCTCTGACCTGTGCTTTCTCATTTGTGTGGTGGACACAGACTGTAGGTTGTGGTCACTGCTGTGTTGCTGTACCTTCCTTTCTGTCAGCTCAAACGTATTACTAGTTCTCGAATCCCCAAAGTGTCTTTGTGTAGAAGGGGAGAAACAGTTGTTAACTCTGTAAAAACGTAAATTGGTGAATCTTTCTTGGGTAAAAAGAAAAAGAAAAAAAAAACTGACTTTGGTGGGCAAAAAGATTGAAAAATGCGAGATGGAATTGATGACTAAATGTTATGAAGGAAGAGATGAGGAAAATCAAAGGAGTGATTCAAATATCATTTTCAGAAATCATTTTCATATACCTCATCGATGGTCTAGGGTAGCGCAGACTATATGTGTTCTTGCTGATGTGCATTCCTGCCCATCACTACTTTCAGAAAAGGGAGGAAGGAAAGAGAGAATGAGGGAGTGACATCCATTCTTAAAGTCTTTAAGAATCCTCTATAGGGACTAGCTAGAAAATTAAAGACAGAGTTGCTCTTTTCAAAAATGTAGTGAGTTGCCTACCAAGACAGCATTTTAAGGGCTTATAGGTGTACTCCTGATGTGAAAGCTATTTCAAATGGTAGGCAGCAACATTATCCTGCCTCCTAATATTTCTCATTTTGGATAATTTCTGAGGCAGCATGATATATATCCTTTGCAAAGCAAGGAATGAAGCTCATAATTGTAAGTGAAGTGACATTTATAGTATGGCTGAAATGCACTACACAGCTTTCTAAACAAATTCTAAAACAATAGTAATCCTAAACTTGCTGACTTTGTTTACAGAGAAAAACTGGGCATCATACACTAAATGACCTCCAACTGAATGGAATTAAATTTGGAGTATATGCCCACTATGCAATATTCTCCTTTATTTTTCTTTTCTCCCATCCTCATTTTTATTGCAACAGAGGGAAAAGCGATGGAACATTTCGTCTGCCGGAGGTGAAAAGAATTCTTCGAGTGTAAGTAGAAAAGGCCTGACAAGGAGAGATGGAGAAAGCTAGAGGAAGTGAAGGAGGGTTGTTGGGAGCGAAGCGATCGGGAGGAAGAGAGATGGAGGGGAAAGGAAATACGCAAGAGCAGCACAATCGCGTTAGCATTCTCTTAGGAATAAAGTCGGGCTCCTCTTCAACATTAACAACACTTCTGCTCGACAAAATGTTCCTTCTTCAGAGTTTAGCATGCAAATTGGCTGCCAGATTATGCTTTTTGTATCCATTTTGCCAACTGTCAGCCTGTTACATTGGGTGAATTATAATCAGGCTGCTGTCGACCCCTTGTGGATGGTAACTTGCTTACACAAGCCTGCAAATGCAAATCAGATTTTTTTTTTAGGTTGTAAATGAGAGCCAAAAGAAAAGATGTCCAGTTTGCTCTCTACTCAATAATAACGTCACAATGTGCATGTGTGAATTTAGTGTGTGTGTGTGTGTGTGTGTGTGTGTCTTGATATTTTCATTTCCATGGTAACCAGCCAACCCACCCTTGAGTTTAAGCATCTCCCTTCACAAACACTCACGAACAAGAGGTAGGCGGAGAAACTTATTCTCAGTCATACCACAGACGAGTCATTTACGTGGTGTTTTCCAATCTCCCCGATCTGTCACACATGCAATCAGTGGGCATTTGAGCTGAGGGGGAGCCGACAGGAACCCTGAAATTGATCGCCTCAGACGTTTCCAAATATGCAGGTTCATACATCTCATTTTCGGGGAAGTTGGGAATAGATTTGAGAGGAGGGGAACTGCAAGATGAGTTTGTCAGGTCTCAACAAAGTCCCCTTCGAGTGGTCTGTCTCTCATTTATATATATATATATATATATATATATATATGTATGTATGTAAAAACGCAGCACAGACCACCACTAATACCGATGAGTGAGCCGCTCCATATGTTGTATACACCAGTCGAAATGTAGCAAGGCTATAAGGCCATTTAGTCTTTATGCTGCTGTCGAAACATGCATTCAGGCACATTAAATGCGAATTACAAATGCCCAAGCACATTTCCATTAGTTACGTTCCAGATGAGATCAAATTTAGTTTTTCAGCTTATGATGCTCTTGGCATGTCTAAAAACTACTATGGTAGTGATGGATTCTGCCAGAACACCATAGATATGGGTTATTTTGTTATAGCACTGTAAAATTAAAATACATTTATTTTTTTGTATAAACAAATATAGTTTTTGTTTTTATAGCGGTGGCTGACCCCAAATGTGTATGTAGTGTGAATAAGTGTGTATATAATATATTTTAATTTATTATATATATTTTTTTTTTTAACTGTTCATGTTTTATATCCGTAATATTTGATCAAAAGTAGAGTAAAAAGAGTAATATTGTGAAATATTATTACAATTAAAATAACTCTTTTTTTATTTTATTGTTATGATATAAAATGTCATTTATTCCTTTGATGGTAAAGATTCATTTTCAGCAGTCATTACTTCAGTCTTCAGTGTCACATGATCCTTCAGAAATCATTCTAAAATGCTGATTTGCTGCTCAATAAATATTTATTAATATTACCCATGTTGAAAACAGTTGAGCAGCTTAATTTTTTAAAAATAATTCTTTGATAAATAGAAAGTTCAAAGGAACAGCATTTAGGCCTATTTGAAATAGAAATCTTCTATAGCATTATAAATGTCTATACTGTAACTTTTAATCAATTTAATGCATCCTTGCTGAATATAAGTATTAGTTTATATTAAATACTTATTATAATATTAATAAAACAAAAAATATATTTTGAACCCATCGCTTTTGAACAATAGTCTATATAACTTACGGTTAGCCACCACTTAAATTATTTTATTTTATTATTA